TCTTAGCTTTCCTGACAGTATTGAAAATAATTGTTTCCAGTCTTGTACCAATCACCAATATCAGAATATCTACTACCATTTCTGTGGGGATTTCATAACCAAATTTAATTTATTTGTTTTTATCAATCATTTTATTTATTGTTATGCTAATTATGGAGTCAAAATAAACTTATATTATACTGAACTTATGTACAGCTCTTTACATGTGTCAGTGATGATCGTATAAAACTAAAATTGTAGTTTGTCTGTACACCGTGTATACTCTTCTAGTAATTATGGAGAATGGTGCTATAATTACTGATTTGTCTGAAATACTTCAAGTACTTAATAACAGCCTGAAATTTAAATCTTATAATTGAATAGGTCAAAGGAAAACAAATTGAAAACAAAGTGTAGAACGTGACATCTATTTTATACATGTAGTTTGAGGACACGGTTGATTTCTTCTTGTAACCATGGCAATCTCATTTTGATACAATACCCAATGAAGCATGACTGAGCAGAATATTCATACTTAATAACTTTTGGGGTCACATGATGGGTACACCGTAGCTAGTAAAATAACCCCACGATAATAATGTAATGACTCATTTCTTAGAAAACTGCAGAGACAAATGAAGTAAATGATACATCAATTGTTGATAAAGCTTTGCCAACAAGATCAATGCCAGAAGTTTTACAGTTTTATCTGTGGGAGTAGTAGCGAAAGCGTGTAGCCTACTCCATGAAACCCAATATTTTTGTTTCAACTTGTAAGTATGTATTTTTATTTGCCTCAAAATGTAACAGTATCTACATAATAATTTAACGGTATAATAAAGACGGGATATATGTTCAAGACCTTACTGGCCTAAGACACGGATGTGCGACATGCACCCTAACCTTCATCACAAACTTTCTCAGTAAAGATCAAAATATTCCAACATAGGATAGGATAGGATTTACATATTTATCCCGGGGGAGAGGAAAGCCGATAAGACGGCTTATCCATATGGCGAACCACGGCCTCTCGTCCGGTTACCATTCCAAGTCGGGTATGGGATTAGTTTTACTGTATTGTTTGTTTTCGGAAGCATGGACTTGGTGGTGGAGGAAGCCGTAACCGACCAGCGGTTACGTGAACCACCCAACGACGACAATGAGTCCAGCAATCCTCTCGCACATAACCATCCCTGCATGGGATTCGAACCTGCGAACCCATGCAGAGTAATTAGAGGTGCGGTGGCGAGCGTATTCCTAACGCTTAGCCCGTTGAGCCACACCGCCGCGCCTGAGGCTACTTTATTATTAGAAAGTTAGTAGGATTTAAATATTTATTTATAATAATATAACATCAGTATGTTGTACATATAGACATAACTTAGATAGCCTACATCCAGCAAATCAAAATCTACCTGCCTGTCTACATACTGACATAAACGAAGGATTTCACATATTCATCCAGGGGAGGGTAAAGTGGATAGGACGCATTTATCATACACATATGGCGAACGGCCTTTCGCTCGTCGGTTATCCCATCTTACTCTTTTTTTCATCCTATTCTTCCTACTTTCCGGTATCCGGCAGCTCTGCTCGAATTCTCCTCTTCGCATAGGACTGTCCATATTTTTTTTTTTTTTTTTTTTTTGTATATACCTGGCACAGTCCAACCAATACGACCAACAAAGCGGGACCATCTCCGACTGTAAGACATCAGCGAGTTGAAAGTCAAAATAAGCGCCGACCCTATTAACATAAACATCAGCTTGCAAAATGCCGCCGATAGCTACTCATTCGCGACATCTTACGAAAAAGATCAAATCACAGAGAATGATGATAACCCTTATAATCAAACTGAACTATCATTCTCGTATGACAACTCGATATTTTGAATAATATCTGACTTGTATGTTGCAAAATAAATAGTTCATTTTAATTTAGTCGAACTTTATTTCACTTTATTTTCGATGACATACTGAATTATGATATTGCATGTTTTATGATGTACACCAGGGTTGTCCACCCTTTTTGGCGGAAGGGCCACTTTTAGTTTACGAATGATTGCGCGAGCCACTTGGTATAGTCATGGTAGTTATGTTCTAGTTTTCATTACACCGACTGCAGGTTAATGAAAAAACAGCCTGTCACCAAAACTATAATAACAATGAAAATACGAAGATACATTAAAGTCAAAAGTTTTTACCATCCATAGAAATTCTAATGTGAAGTATGAACTGATTTTATACAAAGTTGTCAAGATTACGTGCAATGGGCGATGTAGAAATGCGAAGCGAATTTTTTTTAATATGAATGTTAAAAATTAGTGATATCACGGGGATTTGACATGGTTCATCCGTGAAAAAACTTGCTCGTATATGTAAGTGCTGTCAAATATTAAGGTCATGAAAACTGCCTCTTTTAGCTTTACAGAAAAAAAAGCAGTAAAACAGATTGAAATACACAGCAGACGATAAAAATGAAATTTAAATATCTCTTTCTCAGGCAATAACGCCCGCAAAGAGACTTTAAAAAGATTCCGATAGCTCGTTGGTGCTTGCCACGCGTTTGAACGACGAGAAATAATTAATTTTTTGATTAGAGGTTCCAATAATGGCTCAGATTTGTAAAAGACATCGGGCTTCGAATAGCGCGGGCCACTCAAAAATCTTCGGTGGGCCACGGGTTGGACGACCCTGATGTACACTATGAATAAAAATTCGGCAATTCACTTGGCTAAAACAGACAGTCTCCGAACGTAATATAACTAATGTCGTGTTTTCCCAAAATAAGAGTTGGTCTTATTTCATTTTTTTTTTTTGAAAAATAAGACTAGGGCTTATTTTCAGGGGTTGTCTTATATTTTCATTTATCAAAAACAAAATTTCAAAGTAGAGAATCACGAGATTTTCAAATATACAAAATATTAAAACTGTTATTCATTTACTTATGAATGACATTCAAAATAACTGCAAAGCATAAATTAGCAATCATTTAAAACGTGTAGGAGAGATTTTATGCTATCGAATAGGTCAAAAAAGTTTTGTGTTATTGACTAGGTCTTATTTTAAGGGGAGGGCTTATATTAAAAACATTTATAAAATTCAGGCTAAGTCTTATTTTTGGGGAAACACGGTATAAGGAAAATCGGAATAAAATTATGACCTAACCCTAACCTGGTACACATACTACGGGAGTACTGAAAATTCAGACAAAGGTGTCACTTTGTAAATCTAAATCACTTTCTTTTGTCTCTACTTTGCACAACCACATCTCAACAAGTGTGCTTGGGTCGGAAGCAAATAGATCACTATAAGTATAAGAGCTGGCTGTTGGTGGAATTTTACTTTGTAATATATTTAAAAACAAGGCACATAGTTTTGAATTTTTGTATTAAATTTGAGTTTGAAAAGTTTGAAAACTGAATATATTTATTAAAAATAAACAAAAAAAGAATTCAAATATCAAAGGTTGTAAAAGAGAAAAAATTATTTTAGTCTGCGACTTGAAATAAAAACCACACAGAACAGAAATTCAGGAACGTTCTCAAAACTTTAATTGAAGTTTAAGCATGTAACATAGGAAAACAACATTATCAATCTCGTTTCTTGACATAGAATATAACTGGAGAGACTTGTAAGTGATGTGTCGTGTTTCCCAGAATGTAAGACCTAGTCAATAGCGCAAATTTTATTTTGACCTAGTCGATAGCAAGAAGTCTTTCCTCCTCGTTTTATATGATTAAAATTCTGTGTTTAGCAGTATAAATAAAAACATGTAATAAATAAGTAAATGGGTATCGGCATTCATAGTATTTTGTATATTTAAAAATATAATTCTCTACTTTGTAATTTTGTTTTTGATAAATGAAAATAAAAGACATCCCCCCAAAATAAGCCCTAATGTTATTTTTCGAAAGACAATTGGAATGAGACTGTCTCAGTTTACTTCTGACTGTTAGGCACTGTAGATCTAGTAGGTTGTCTATTTTTCAATAGGATGAATGGGTAAGATTTCTAGCATTTATTTTTGGTATTTCATTCAATACACGTGAATATTTACTGTTACAGACAAAGTTTCTTCGTTTTATTTTGTATATATTTGACCCGGAGTTATCTCGAGATATATCGGTCATTGCACTTTGTCGAATGACCGTTCACTGGCAGGTTATACATAAAGAGAAGTTAATATCGCGAAGTGTCACCGCCCAACACGTTATAGGCTTCTTGTAGAGCCTCATCATAAGTACTAAGTCGCTTATAATCTACATTTACTTTTCATTTTTGATAGCCTAAACGTACCACAAGAAGTCTCTCTAAACCAATTTGATATCAAATTTCAACTATTGTTGTATTTTGCTTTTATAAAGAAACATTATCCAGGTGTAACATCGTCTCGTCAGGATATTTAGCATTTGTGTTAAGACAAAAGGTCGTCGGAAACCTATTATATACGTCGACTACCGTTCTTAATATTCAGTTAGGTTTGAGATGTTATGAACGCTGTATAATTGTGTAGTGCTAGTATTTTTCTTTACCAAACTACTTTAAATTTTGCAATATTGAGGTATTTTGTTTTGCATATAATTTATTCATATTTTTTGGTGTTAGTGCATAAAATAGAAAATAAGCACAGTAATCAAATATTGCATTAAATATGTGAGTTACTCATCCCGGGCCAAATGTTGTCTTCTTACTAATGTGTTTTATTGGAAATGAGCTGGAATGGACAGCAAAGCTGTTTTAAATTCAAGCACGTTTCGTGTGGTAATATATTCAAATTTTTACGTATAAAGATTCTCAACTGATAATGTGTTCGCTGGGTTATCAAGCAAATTTTATTATCATATCAAATACCAGCTTAAAGCCAGTATGAAAGAACATACTCTTAACCCTACCCTCGAAAACATTTTTTTAATATAGCTATATATATATAGGCAAATTTGAAAGTAAATCTATGTTCATATTCCTATTTTTTTTAGATATATATTCGTTAATCAAGAAGTAATAAAATAGTTCCTAATCATGACGGATGTTATCAAGTTCTATCACACGCCAAGACTGCACCACAACACGCCGACTGGAATAGTTCGCAGTGTTCCCCCCGTTCATTTAATCACCACACTCGAAGCCCGAGCGTTAAGAACCGCGCCTGCTCCGACCCCGATGACAAAACTCCCACAGAAAGAGGAACACAAAAAATTGTTGGCGAAGGTTGTCGGCTTCGATGCTGGAACTTTACTAGAAACTTCAAAACATCATCATCATGCGGGAATGCAAAGTCCCAGGTCAGTGATTCAGTCGTTTTTTTTTAGATTGTCCTTGGATACTAAATGGACCTATGGATCGCTTTGTTATTAAGTTGTTGTTTATCATCATGTGTTTAGTATTCCTTTACTTTTTCTTCTTGTTGGCACTGTATGAAAAGACCGTTTTTCTCATTGACTACTGGATCAACTGCTTTGAAATTTTAAGTAGTTAAGATAGTATTTTTCGCTGAAAGGCTATTACTTTTATCTATTTAAAATTTCTGCGGTCCTAAAGGGATTAGTTTTCTTGGGTGCAATTACGTCATCAAAAATTGCGTACCCTATGGCGGTTATGTTTGCGTTATTCGCATAGTTTGCGGTGCGTTTTGGATTTCGTGTCCATATATTTGAGCATCGCTCTCTTGATAGACTGAAGTAGAATTTACGAGTTGTGTACGTAATGGCTTATTGCAATCGTGAATCTTATTCTGTGCAACGTCCATGCTATCATGAATGTTTTTTAACAGACCTGCAACTGCATTTTGGGGGGACAATTTTATATACTTGACTAGATTATAATTTTTACAAACTCAATGGTATTGGCTTGATTTCAAGTACTGCTCGTTTATGACCTCGCTCGCTGTCCAAAGCCATCAAATTGTTCAGCTATTCGGTGCTGCCCTTCAGCGAGAGCACATCACTGATTTGGAGAAATATATATGAGACCTGTTTAAATTAAAATTAGAGTAGACATATGCTCGTCTGAAGTATAATTCAATGTGATGGTCTGAGTTGATAAAACGTCAAACGTTTATTAAATCGCACATAAGACAACAAACTATCCCCATGAATTATATATAGTGATCAAGTGAGGCCTTTTAAGGTCATATGATCGGGTCGTAGCATCGACTTTTCTTACTTCAATGCGACATATTATTCTAACTTTCACAGGCATGGCAGAAGTATGAGGGAACCAACTCCCAAACCGGACAATACCGAAGTAGAGGTCAGAGGTCAAGCATTTTCAGGAACTCCGAGGCTACTCAGAGGCGGAAACTCAAAATCTTACGGAGTTCGTCGACAGGTGGGCCTTAGTTTTGACGTAAAATGGTATTTGGTATATTTTACTCCACGATAGTTAAAAGAAGTCATCTTATATAAGTACTAAACTATTTCGTACAACTATTTGATAGGAATTAGGAAACAAAACTTTGTGAATGCCTCACACGTGCCCGGTATGAGTATCCTATTGTCTCGTCACAAATAGAAAACTTGTTGAAACATTATCCTGCCACCCGGACATTTAAATGCCCTATTGTTCCGAAATAAATACTTCGGGAATTAAGACAATGACTCATTGTAAAATTACTCCAGCGGACGCTAAATGTGAATTTTAACCCTTTATGAGCAAAACAATTTCCTTCTTTGCGCTTTTACTGAAACTATGATGTCACAGACAATGAAATATTTTCATCATTGTTTTGTAACAAGCAATTTAACATGACTTGAAGACTTTAATTATTTTCGTCACAATGAGAGCAACAGGTCGATACTTGTTCCAGGCGGGAGCCACGCCACAGGTGCGTGCATCGGATTGTTCGTAAGACGTTCCAGCCACACGCGCCCTTATAGTAAATAAATAAGTATGAAACAGAAAGAAATACCAATACTATAGTATAGTGCCGGTAACGAGTTGTATTTTACGACACCCACACCCCGCCGGAAATCTTTCAAAACTCAGTTGAAATGCATCACAAATGCGACGCAACAACGCACCTGAAATCCACGTTTAAATAAAAGTTGCTCCGCGCGAAACACCATAATACGTAAACACTTCATATACATCGACGCATGTCGATTGCTTGCATTATATCGGACGCGCTATGTAAAGAAAAGTACGTGAACTTTCCAACCAATATACCGTATATTGAGGCATAGGCGCAGTCGAGAGGGGGAGGGATAAGGGACCACCACCAGAATTTATAACATTTTTCTATTTCATTGCGATCTTGCGGCATTTGCAGCGAGACATAAATTCTTACGCTTTTTGCAACACCATTTCACTCTATTCTTGAACGATTCACCGAAAACCGGACTTTACCTGGCTTGCTATCAATAATTCTTTCACTAAATGAACCAACTAAGACAGATGAAAACGCGCTTATCTACCTCGGATAACTTCGAAAGCGAAGCAAGTCTTTAGATATCAAATAGAGCGTCGTCGTCAAATAGTAAGCGTCGTATCAAGTCATTATAGAAAATTATGCTGGGTTCACTTTTGTATCAAAGCATGTCGACGAGTTACTTATTCGATGCGCCCACACTGCCCGACAACTTTAAAGTACAATAGCATTTCTCTCAAATGCATATGACAGACTACATATTATATCGGCTCGGCCATCAGTACCAATGCACAAAGTAAAACAAGACGAAGTTTACGCGTGCACCCTGATTAACATTCGATTTTCAATAAATATTTTCATTTCACTAAAACCTTCCAGAAACCCTTTCATATTCACCCCAAATGCGATAGAAATGACTCAAAATCCCGCTGGTTGTAATCGAAAGTAAAATGAAACAATCTCCACGTGTACATCTTGAGACACGTCATCATCTCAGCTACACTTATTTAACACTCAAACTCTCCCGCCCAGAGTTCTTTTATATGACCTTACAATATAAAAATCTTTACTGTATGATATTGACTAATACCCACTATGTAATTTAAATTGCACTTTCGTGAACATCATCCTTACAAAATTACACAACAACATATAGTACAAAACTGTTCGGAGTCCATATGACCTTTCCCCGACCTTTGACCCCCGGAAATTACTTCCTATACTTTACCGTTGCAAAATTTTCGGGGCTATTTTAAGAGTGCTTTTGCGAGTTGGCGCCTGTTAAATGGGGTATGTATTTCAAACCATCATTATGATTCATCGCATACAACAATCTGTTTTTTCAAAGTACCGGTAAAGAATTTCAGGCTAGTCTATCACATCTATTTTTACACTAATTTTTATTACTGCAATTAAATTAAAACTCCTAGGAAGACAGAGTGATCATCGAATTATTTTATTTTTATTTAAGTTTCCAAAACACAACTGAAAACTAACGAATAGAGTTCAAAAACGCAAAAACGAGGTAATGTTTACAACCACGCTTGAAAATCTGTCTGAGTGAGAAAAGTGTCTGAGCGGATGCGGAAAGGGGGCATTGTTACGTCACTTTTTACATCTTGCTGATTGGCCAATGTCACAAAGTAAACAAGGAAGTCGATGATCGGGGAAAGGTCCATAAATAAGCAAAAAATACCACGCTTACACAAAATACGGCAAAAAAAATATTGAGAAATATAACGAAACTCAGGGCTGGAAGTCGGGAAGGGCTTTCGCTGTCGGGTTGGCGTTATAGTTTGAACTAGCAGCCATCAACTGCGTTCTTCCCGGTTTGACTAGACACCCTCCTAAAGCTTAGCACTTTTCCTAAAGCTTAGCACGATGCGCCAATTAAAATACATTTTATTACCTTATATAACACGTTGATGTATGTCCATATTTTGTAACCCATGAAGTAGTATGTGCTTGCCGGCCCGCGGTTTGGGAACCAATGGTATAAAATCATTATAGTGCAAAATTGCGCGTTAGTGAATACCGAGTGACGTACAGTTGTTACGATGATACCAAAACGACCAGTAAAACAGTTACTTATTACCGACTAAAAGGCTCTTTATCAAAATTTTGACTTGAACAAATATTTATTTTCAGATTTCTCCGGATAACCAACTGGAATTATCACCAGATAATACAGCGCCTCCAGCGACCGCTGATTCATGGCAAGTCACAGCCGATTTCGTCCTTACGTCAGAGCCTTTGAGGTCATCAAGAAGAGTTGCCGTCACAAATAAATTACTAGAAAAAGAAAGACGAAGAGACGCTCCGTGGGTGTATTGTTTTAAAATAAAGAGAGATCGGTTACGGATGAGTAATCTCATTGTTACGAGTACATCACCAGTGGACAATTTGTACCCGGCGCCTCTGTGATGTCATAAATGATCATAGTGAACAATGTGATTATTTCAACAGTGACATAATTGTTACGCATGAATTGACAGAAAAATCGCATTATTTATGATCAGAATCTTCTATGATCTCATAATTTGCCCTCGTTCTTCGTAAATCTGGTTGCATAAAACCTAAAAAACGAAAGAGTCCGGGTTTAATGAACTAAAAAAGACTTGATCATCAGTCCTATGAAAATTTAGTTGGACTATTTGAACGGGCAATAGCCGTTCTAATTATGCGCTAATGATAGTAGAAAGCTAATCCTTAAATGCAAAAACCAAAAACTTTATTTTCAACCCCACAAGAAATTTCGATCGACTGATTTTAGCGCCCCTCGATTTCAGTGGATTCTACGTTTACATTTTTACATCATGTTTTCTACATTTTTGTGGCCGAACACCGTAAAACTTGTGTTTTCATGAATCTTGAGAGAGTAAAAAGCTACGAAAAGTTATGAGAGGGGGGAGATGGGTCCGACTACCAAAACCACCCCTGGCTACACACCTGCCACAATGTGATAAAAATATGTTTTCTAGTCCGATATTTAAGCAGTTCTTATATATATATATCAGTATGGTTTCGTGCATGTATGAAACCCGTTTTTGAGAGATTTCGAGAAAGAGAAACTGTTCTTAAAAAAATCGAATTCCATCACTGTATATATATAATAGGAAACAATCAAAATTTTCCTTGTTTATTTTTGTAACATACACAATTATAGTGCTGATTTCTGTTTTTCAATTTCTCATTTCAATTATTGTTTACAAAAAAATAGAAAGTACTTTAAAACGATTTGTGATGAATAGACGCAGCATTTGAGTATTGAAGATAGAAAATCGACCAAGTTTATCAATCGCCTTTGCAGGGGGACTGGCGCTGCTTTCAATATTTTAATTCCAACTAGGAGACATGTGGTTATAACTTGGGTGAGAAATGCAGAACCAAAACGATTCCGGTCCTCCTTATTCAGGGATGGGCAAGGATTTTGACTCCTGGCACCTAGACTGACGGGCTATTAAGTGTGACGTAAAAAGTTACATTTTATGAACAATATTTACAGTGTTCCAAAAGCAAAAGTGGAAAACAATGAGCCTCGTGCCCAAACTAATTTTAATCGTAAACTCAAATTTATTGCAGCATCAGGCGGGCCAGATTGAATCATCCAACATGCCGGATTTGGCCCTTAGGCGGTAGTTTTCCTATACCAGGAATCTAGACTATAGTGGCACTTTGCTCAGCAGTGGCCGCTTGTTCAGTGCCTTGTCTCAGTTGTCTGGGACAAAATATAACAAATGTCATAATTGACTATTAAAGTAAGAAGTAGGTTTGAGTGAAAGTTGTAGTTGGGTACATGGATGAAACACACAATGTGAAAAATTGAACAGGCTGGGAAAATCTGCCTTTTAATCTAGTATATTGAATTATTTCTTGTTCAGCAATAATAGGAACTACCATGTGCAGTGCACTGATGACTAGCGGTCGACAACAGAAAGAAGTCGCCTTTTCAGCTAAAAGTGTGTCAAATATGTTCTTGTTTAGTGACTTATTCTCAGGCAAAAATGAATAATAGTACTTACATGTAAATATAAACGCAACAACGGAGCAACTTGCGATGAATACATTGACATAGACGTTGGAAAGTGTCAAGAGATATCGCATCACTTGGATAAAAATAGTTGTGAAGAGCTGTGACATAAGGGGAATTTGTAAGTCTTCCAAAGATCATTAATGGAGTGAGTTGGGTATCGATATGATGACATATAACGTAAAAGATTCCGGATTCAAACCCTATTCTCACCAGTTCATTCTAAGGTAAAATAAGAATCAAGATAGGTAACATATGTAGAGGCGTGCTCGATTCTGATAGATTTTATTTCTTGGCGATGGCCGTGATCAGTATAGTCAATACCGACCCTTTTTCATTTCGTCTATTCTCAAAACGGCTATATATATACAAGCATCGACTGATGTACTAAGGCCCAGGGGTCGGCAACCTTTTGGCACTCGCGGGCCAAAATTGAAGGCTGCAATTACTGGCGGGCCGGACATATTTTGGCGATGACGCACAACCTGAACTCAAAGCTGGTACACATACTATGTTGAAGGTTGTGCGCCACGTTTGTACACATACTTCAGGAGCAGCCATATTTTTTTAAGAAAGTTATAAACCGAATGGGTTGTTTATTAATCACATTTTTACACAGATCAGAAATTGAAATTTTAGATTGTAAATAGCGAGCTCTGTGACGACTCGTGAACTCAAGTCGCCGTACAGGCAAACAAATTAGAAAGGATATTTAATGTGACACTTGTTGTTGCATTACGCTTGATAGCTTTTCGACGTCAGGTGACACACTGGATGAAGCCAATATCAGAACATTTTCTAAATGGGCATCACTAATACTAGTTCTCCGCCTGTTCTTTGTAATGTTCATTTTTGAAAATAATTGTTCGCACGCATATGTGCTTCCAAACATCGATGTGAATTTTTTCGCATGGTTTATCAAATTCGGATAGATATTTCCCTCCAGAAGATACTTTTTATAAAAATCAACCAGTGACACATCTCTCGAATAAAAAATGGATTTAATTTCCTCATTGCATTGCATCTCAAGAAGCTCCATTTGAATATTTTCTGCAACTGTTTCTACGTTGACATCAAACGGAGTACTAAACAGCCTGAATTCGTTTTCAAGAGAACGAAAGTCAGCAAAGCGGGAGGAAAAATCGCTTCGTAACTCCCGTATTACAGAAACAAACTCAAAGTTGCTTGTGGGGTTTCTTTCTTTAAGTGTGTTAAAGTGAGCGTAATTTGCTTTTTCCAGTTGGCTCTCCCAGAGGCATAACTTCCTTTCGAATGCGAGTATATGTCTCCACATCTGATGTACGAGCTGATTTTTCCCCTGGAGCTGCAAATTCAGTTTGTTTAGATGGGACGTTAAATCAACTAGAAATGCCAGTTCAGAGAGCCATTTTGGATCGCGAAATTCAGAAAAATTCTTATTTTTGCTCTCAAGGAATGACGCTATTTTATTCCTCAGTATATACACTCTCTCTAGCATTGTACCCCGACTAAGCCAGCGAACGTCGCAGAAGTAAAGTAAATCGCCGTATTCGTTTTCTGCATCTGAAAGCAACTGACGAAACTGGCGATGGTTCAAGCCTTGAGATAACACAATGTTGACAGCTTTCACTACTGTATCCATAACTCCCTTCAAACTCAAAGCTTTGGCGCACAGGGCTTCTTGGTGAATCAGACAGTGTATTTTGACGATGTCGTTGTCAATTCCGAGGTCACTTATGTGTTTTCGAAGTAGAGCTGAGACGCCTCGATTCTTATCTGTCATTGCCGGGGCTCCATCGGTGGTTATTGATACCATCTTTGATAGATCAAGGTCCATGTCTCCAATGCATAGCAGCAATGCGCTCAGAATGTCAGCACCTGTTGTAGTTCCCTTCATGGAAACTAGTTGGACAAACTCCTCAACAACGTCAAAAGCTTCACTTACTCCACGCACGAAAACTGAAAGCTGAGCGGTGTCTGCCGCATCTGTACTCTCGTCAATTGCAATTGAGAAGAATTGTAAGTTATTGATGATATCCCTTTGACGACGCTTCACATCCCTTGACATTTCTTCTATTCGCCGAGTCACGGTTCTAGCAGAAAGGCTGATATTTGAGAATAACTTTTCCTTATCAGGACATACAATACCAACGACGGTCATCAAGCATTCTTTCACAAATTCACCATCTACAAAGGGCTTCATGTGTTCTGCAATTAATTTAGCCACCTCGTAACTAGCAACAATATTTTGTTCGGTTTCGTTGTGTTGTTTGTGGAAGAAAGAACTTTGCTTTTCTAAACTGTCTTTTAACTGTTTAATCTTGTCCTTCCTCCTTTGGCTATCTAGTTCTGAAAATTTGGGATGCTTGTCACATAGTGGCGTCTAATGTTACATTCCTTATTGACAGCTATAGATGCGTAGCAAATCAAGCAGGTAGGTTTGCCCAAGTGTTCTACAAAGAAATAATTTGTCGTCCACGTGCTATTGAACCCTCTTCCCTCAGCATCAACTTTCCTGCGCTTTGTTGCCATTCGCCTAATTATAATTATATTGCTGGCTCAATAAACCTGTTCACTAAATTACTAGGTTATATTAAAATTTAGTCCACTTCACAATAAATTCTGTTACATAAACAAAACAGCTATGCTCAAATATCCTCTTCTAAGCGAGATATTTTATCACCAATTCCCCGAGAATCATATGAGGCAACTTAGCGGTATCGGGATATTGTCACAGCTTTTCCAGGTCCTGTGACAATGATCTATTCTTCATAATTCAGTTTTAATGTGAATTGAAATACCAAGTGATCTGAGTCACCTTTATATTTCCAGATCAAGTACCACAGCCTACTATTACCCATAAAATCATTTCCATAAATCATCTGCGTTAACTTACCAGTCCGGTTACGGTACAAGGACTGTCATGCTTTTCCAGGCCCCGTGGCGATTACACATTCATTTTATTAAATTTTAACATGAATTTGAAATGCGAACTGATCCGAGTCATTTCTGTATCACCAGTTCAGGCCCCACAGTCTAACGTTCCCCATAAAAACTTTCGCCCACTTTCGCTAATCACGAGATACACCGACGTTCGCTGAGCACGAAATCGGCAGATAATGAGATACACCGACGTTCGCTGAGCACGAAATCGGCAGATACGCGTTCGCGGAAACGCCACAAGGCGGCAAATTTTGGAGACGAGTCGTAGCACACAAAAAACGAATCCCATAGAGCTCAGAAATAATTGAAATGAATAAAATACCGTTTAATTAATGAAGACCACATAATAACAAAACGATCCATAGCTCCGTGTCTAATAATCTGCTCCTCGAGGGTAAATTATTAAATTAAATGGTGAAAATTCACCTTTTTGCAAAATTCACAAATTCGTCGTTTTGTCTCTAAATTTTGGTGAAGCGTCGCGGGCCGGATTGCGTTACTCCGCGGGCCGGATCCGGCCCGCGGGCCGTAGGTTGCCGACCCCTGTACTAAGCATTACAGAGATTCGACGAATCCGAGTAATAAATAGCTCAAGGACTCGAATCGAATCGTGAGGGCGACTAGCGGCAACATCATTGGTATACGTGATCAAAAGTTTTTAACTTGCGTTATATTATATGGATATCTGTCGTCGTCTTTATTAGGAGTTTTTATAATACATATCTAACCTTGAATTTTAACTAGTTCAGGTATGTACTGAGATTTATAGAGGTAAAAGTACAAACATAGGCGTAAATCAGTAAAAACATAATTGAATATAGACTTGGTATAAACGACTTGGACTCGGGATAGAATCCGAGTCCAAAAAATGCGTGGATTTGACTCGAATCTGAGTCCGGATCCGAATCTCAGCCCGTCCCTACTGAATTTTTATTGAAATCGATAACCAATATATAGCGCGAACGCTTGAAACAAAACAAAATATCTACATATGGGATATTTTCAGCTATCATTCTTTATTAGCAAAACTCAAGAATAAAGTTTATCACGTGTAACGAGCACGTACATTACACGTTATAAACTTTATTCTTGAGTTTTTCTCGTTTTCCATACATTTCTGTAATATGATTTTTTTTACTGAGTGTTGTATTTTCAGAATGCCAAAATAAATGGTATTGTATTTATACTGTGATTTAATCAAGGCGATGGGCGTTGGCGTTTCAGATTGCAGGTTTCGAGTACAACTCCGTGGAAACCATCTGAGTGAAATACACGTTGATTTATGTATAATAATGCATTGACAAGTAACGCCCCTAACAATTGATTGTGCTATCTGTCTAGTGTTAACCTTTCGCTGTTACGTCACTTGCTTGTTTGATCTGTTGCTGTAAGCATCTATGTTGCTGTAATAAAGAGGTGTAAGCGCACTCAGTTGAACCTTTATATTATAATAGCTTGGGTGTAGAACTCGGTATATACCCAAACCTTATTAACAATACAACATATAAGGCATAAGTAATGCTAGACCACTTGTTCCAGGTTGATGCGAAAAAGAAAATTATGAAATTGACCGATCTCGTCGGCTTTGGGAAACATCACCTCGCTCACTGAACGTCGCAACGAAATTTTAGTGAATTGAATTATTTTATTCATGCTATTTTAGGTAAATTCACTGATTTTTGTTAATCGTGTGTCACCATATACCGTACCCGATTTACGTCAAAGCTATTTGCGCAAGATTTTAGATTAAAAGATCAGTCAGAAATATCATCGTTAGTCAAAGGTGCGATTCACCGCAATATTTGAATAAGTGCAATTAAACAAAGTTTCTGGTCTGGGCTGTGAAAAGACAGAGAGAGAGAGAATGGATCGTAGATATGGTATATATATGGTATGAGCTTAAGGATTGTCTGCTTACACAGAGAGACTACATACGGTATAGTGGTTATCAAATAGAATAAGAGTTTCATACTTATTTGGGGTGAAGGAAAGCCGATTGGACGGCTCCATCATATTATGGCGAAGCACGGTCTCTCGTCAAGTTACCAGTGCATTGCGGGTATGGAAATAGTGATATTTTGTACAAAATTCCCGTCACTAATGCAAAAATGTGAGATATAATAAACTACGTTTTTGAATAACAAATTAGCAATTAACCAGTTTAGGTTAGAAATGATTTAAAATTTTGTGCTTCCAGCGCAATTTGCATTTCTAAACCAAACCATAACTGGTTAATTTGATGGTAGAGGAAGTCGTAACCAATCAGCGGTTACGTGAACCATCTTACGACGATGAGAAGTTCAGCAATACTCTTGCACATAATTGTCTTCTGTGGGATTCGAACCTGCAAACCCACGCAGGGTAATCAGAGGTGCGATGGCAAGTGTGTTTTTTCACGCACAGCATGACGCGCCAACAGACGATAACGGTGGGTCGCAAAATGAGAGAAGATTGCTTTAAACCAGAAAAAGTCTGGGTTAATATGAGTACATAGAAAGCACACACTGCGGCACACAGCAAGCACATACTACTTTATGGGTTACCAAATATGGACATACATCAACGTGTAATATAAGGTAATAAAATGTATATTAATTGGCGCATCGTGCTAAGCTTTAGGAAAACGCTAGCCGCTGTACCTCTTACTACCCTGCGTGGATTCGCAGGTTCTAATCCCATACGGCATAGTTATGTGCTGGACTCCTTGCCGCCGTGGTGGTTCACGTAACCACTGATAGGTTGAGACTTCTTTCACCATCAAGTCCATGCTTCCGAAAACAAATAACTGGCTAACTAATCTTATACTTGACATGGACTAGCAACCGGACGGGAGGCCGCGGTTCGCCCCGTGGACAGTTCGTGTTGTATGAAAAAACAACGAACAATCACACAAAACATAGCTGTTTTACGTGAAAGCGTGGAATGACGATTGCGATTACATCTTATCCAAATACTCAATTCCGTTATATAAACAATGATTGCATTGAACAATGAAATTCTCTCGTGTACTTTCATCGCTAAGAACAGATGTGACTTATTTATTCAGCCGACAAAGCTTTTGATGGAAGCGGTTAGAACGCTAAAGTGAGATGCCAACGGTTCGAAACCGACGAGGGTGAACTATGCGAATTATTTAAATTGGATTGAATTTATTTTTGGTCTTTTAGATTGTAAGTGATAATTTATTCATGTCGTCTACGGAAGAACAAGGTAAAATGCTGTAACTATGATTTGGACTAGTGCCATTACAGCGTGTCCATATAGTCCCTTTACAGTTTCAATTTTGTCATGAAGTCAGTTCTCAATATATCCTAACCTGGTTTGTTGTTTTTATTCAATAATTGTTCTGCGAGAGCCAACACAATAGTATTGATAAATTCTATTTGTAATTTTAAAGACTTTATGGACACCCTATATATTTATGCTTTGGCAAACATATTTCCTGTAACAGATTATGTCAAGAATTGTTTGTTTACGTCACATTAAGTCTTTTGTGTAACCAACTTTAAAATATATAGGGCAGGGGTGTGCAACCTGCGGCCCGCAAGCCAAATGCGGCCCACAAGGAAAACTTGTGCGGCCAGGAAACGAGTTTTCAATTCAGTTTAATCTAACAAGTGCGAGTGGTTCCAATTTCGTTGCGCTGCAAAGCCTATATCTGAGCTTGTGCGCAAACTTTTTTAGTCTGCAATTTCTAGAAAACCGCATAAAGGTGCGGTCCGCGGTTTCACCCAGTTATTTGCCCTTCAGTATTAAAGATTGCGCACCCCTGTACCAGGGTGTGTTTATTTTGTGAAACTTAGAAATGTTCATCGGTCGTAAAATAAATTTTTACTCACCGACATCGCCCAAACTAGTATACCGGATGATGTTCCTTCCGGTTCCGGGTACGTCATCTCTGCTGCTGTTTCAAGTCCAACCGACATTTTACCTGTGAACCCGAACCTGTAACAGTAAAACGTATATTTAATCTCTCAACAAAAAGCAAATACAAGACTGCTAGAGCAAAAATAAGCAAAAATTAACGGCGCCCAGAAGTATGTGTACCAATATGAAGGTAACTAATTTTGTTCGCCCATTTTACATCAAGTTGTGTAAAGGGACTGAAACCTACGAACAGGGGGTGTATTCACTTGGCAGTCCCCAAACTTATAACAGAACTAAACCTGACCCTAACCTGGCACACATACTACAAGAGTATCCAATAATCACTACCAAGCTATGAGATATGCGTAGGTCTACTGGTGCTATGTTGAATTGATGTAAGCAAAATACATGCAGCAAATACTATATATATGCAGTGGTGGAATTCAAAATTTTTTCGGTAATGATAACCGGTTCGCTGATCTCATAAAATTTCGGGAGACGGTTCTATAGAACCGGCGCGAACCGGCTCAATCCCACTACTCTATATATGTGAAGTAAAAAATTGAAATATGATTATCCATATTTATCTACGGGAGAGGAAAACCGATAAGACGCTATCATTCTCATCTTGAGCATGCCCTGATTAATCATAAGCTGAACCACGGGCTCCTAACATACATATACGGACTAACACGGCTAACACACACAGTCCCCATACTCGTAATAGAACTAAAATAGGGAAAATCGGAATAAAATTATGCCCTAATCCTAACCTGGTACACACACTATGGGAGTAATCTCTATGGTGCTCAGTGGTGGAATTACATGCCAACGTGTCCCCAATGCATTTTAAGGTTTTACACTTGAGAATTGGCTGGCCTCGTCTTAACCACGCACTGTTCAGATGTAGGTCGAATATGACAAGATATACGTGACTCGTCCAAAGGTACGAATAGATGTCAGTAGAAAACAATATACATGCAATGGGTTGATACACCCTATCACCGCCCTTATTAGACACACCTCACCAACGCCCCGATTTACATCGTTTCAATATCGATTCGGTCAATATCGATCAATGGATTCAATTTGGAAATAATACAAGAAAAGGCTTAAACAAATGGTCATAAAAACTTGGAAGGTTTTATTAACACATTAGAGAACTGAATTTTGTCAAACAATTCACCTATATACTGCTCCAGACGAATGATGTTCAGCCCCTAATCGATAGTTTTCAACAATATATAGACACACCCTAGCACCGCCTTCATTTTCATCTTTGTAATCCTAATTTAATTTATACTCACCCAAATATCCCTATGCCAACCCAAACCATCCATATTGTTTGTGACGTCATAGCAAATACAAGAAATATTGCGGAAGTGATACAGATTCCATGTATACATAATAGTGTCCACCTAGAGCCGAGAAAAAAAATTTATTTTAGAAATTTGAAATTTTTAATTTTCATCACTGAAAAACAGGATACAAGGATACGTTGTTGCAGTTAGGTGTATGGATGGCTATATGGTTCCAATCGACATTGGAATGTCCGTCTCTGTAAAGTGCTGCTGGAATGTCTCATGGATAGAACGTTGAAAATAATGATAGATATGCGGTCCCAGTGATTACCCCTCACTGAAATTTTCACCTAACCGTCCATTCCTGAATTTATTTAAATTTGAATATCCACAAAGTAGCGTATACAACAGTGCAGATGATCAGTTAAATACATAACCTATTTCTAAAGGTTACCAAGTTACCTATAGTTTTATCGCGAATAACAGAATTTCTAATGCCTTTTATATTTGGGAACACTTCCCTAAAATGTAAAGCTGGGAATATGTGTGGTCCTTATCGACATTTGAATACCTTCCTCGGGAGAGTGCTGTTGGGCTGCTATTAGACAACAGTTTGGTGGTTAGAGGCAGCTGCACAACATGTGTTAAGTTCAATCAAATGCAGTCCATGTGAATACTTATACACACTTTAGTATCAAACCGACAGGGAATCGAATTGTTTAAAAATCCGTGGGCGACATCTAGCGGATAGATAATTTTACTTTTGTCCGAGTAATTCAGACGAGAATCAACGGCCAATTTGAGTTTATCAGAAATATTTTCCTGATTTAAAGTCAAATTACAAAAAAAAATAAAAATATCAGGGTAATACTAACACAATTGTGTAAAATCTCCAATACAAAAACGGTCCTCCCGTAGTGTGTGAACCAGGTTAGGCCATAATCTTATTCCGATTTTCCTTATTTAGTTATATTACGAGTTCGGGGACTGTCTGTGTTAGCCGAGTAAATATACCCTTGCTCATAGGTTTTAGTCCCTTTACACAACTTGATGTAAAGTAGGCGAACAAAAATAGTCACTTCCATATTGGTACACACACTTCTGGAGCGCCCGAAAACTAGGAAATATAATTTTATGTGCATTCATGTGTTATGGAGGCGTTTTCACATTTTCAATGTAACAAGCAGATATTAATGTTTTTCGAGAAAAAAAATCTTCTACTCGTTAGAGTAGTTGGCATGGTTGTTGAAATGTGCTCATCAATTTCAAAATAAAGCACAAATTTCTTACTTGAATCTTTTTGTTTTATCCAGAATAATTCCAAACACAAGAGGCGCGGGTGTACCAACTAATATCATAAATGAAACGATCTGCCCCGTCGTTGCATCAGAGATACCCTGTGAAATAAGTCGAACAAATAATAACATTTTTTTCAATAATTAAATTTTCAAACAAAAAAAAAGGATTAGTAGAGGTTAAGGGAGACTAACTCCCAATCCTGCCTCAATGCCATTGAGCCAGTGGATCCGTATGTGTATAATGCAACAGTGCTGTAGCAGAAATAAAAATAGCATACTATGCAATCCGAAATTCCTGCTGCACACAAACACAAATGTATTCTGTAACGTTTCGAGACAAGCAGTTTACAACAATTAACAGCTGTATCTCGCTTGGATTGGACAAAAACAAATTATGCAATGCAAACGAAACTCATTCACATGCCCGAAATATTACAATATAAAGATTTATTGTCATACATATGGGTTATATTATGTTTTTTTTTTTTGATAGCATACTAGCAGAGAAGAGGATTACTGATTTGATTATATGCATATAAATAATATAAATAATTGTAAAACACTTGCCTAAACAAGAGATGAAAAAGAAATAAAAATGTGCCATAATATGCTAAAAATAGGTTGCAAAACAAATCGATTCATCTTACAAGTAAAACTCAGTGCTGACTAGAATTTGGTTGCATTATATCTTATAAAGTTGAAAAACTTACTGTAAAATTATCTTCAATGACCGACTTGAAAAGTGATTGAACGCTGCTGAAGATTCCGAAATCGATACCTGGAATACAGACAGACAAAAAAATTTGGTAATAACATCGAAAGAATGACATAAAAGTTGATATTTTAGAAATAAATAAAAAAACAGGGCGGAGCTCGCGACATATACCTGTCTACATTTGATTATTATAAAATAGAACATTTTAATGTAACACCATTAGTTTTATGATCCAAGGTAAGTAAATCAACTATTTTCTACAATTAGTACAAGTATGGATACAAAATTCGATAAAAATACAAAATCGTGAGGCGACATTTTGATCATAAACCACCTTAGATACGTTCTGTGATTTTTCCCCCTTCAAATAACCAAATAAATAAACAATAAACCCAAATACCCTGATTTGGCTTCCACTGATATATGGACCAGCAAATATCATTTTTAATTGATATTACGGAGAGTTGTAACAACGTCATTTATTTTGAACACTTGAAGTTAAACATTAGTCTGAATGCTGTGCTTGTTCGGTGAAAATACTTTCCGAGTTTCTTCGACACGTTCAAACGTTTAAAACAAACGGAGACGGAAGCAAACGTTTAAATCCGTTGTTTTCAAACAACGGGGCGCGCCCAACAATGGGGGGGGGGGGGGGGGGAGGGGAGTTTTTAAGAGGGCGTGAAGCTAAATAAAAACAAGAGAGCTATGCTCAAATATCTGGACACGTAGCGCCACATAATTTTGATGACGTCATGGCAAAAAATAATAATAGCCTACTGGAGAAAATTCCATTTTTACCCACTGAGAATTTTAGCAATTGATTCAGTAATCAAGGAGAAAAGCGATTTCTTCAAAACGTGTCAAAAACAACAAGAACAACATAACAACAGAACGATCGTCCACTATGTGTCCATTAAAAATATTTGTTAGGTTTGATATTGCCCGACTTATTTCGGATATTACATATATTTATTGTTTATAGATTGCAAAGTGCTGTTGCACTTGTATCTTTATTATCCTTATCGTTGAGCCTTACTATCTGTTATTTGTGGCTTATTGTTAGCTAGTTATTTTTGAGGTGGCGCGCGAGACTCTAAAAAGGGGTCGGCTTGAAAAGTTTGAGAACCAATGGTTTAAATACTGTTACGGTATTAATTATTCATTATATCTCAGTCAATGTACTTTAACTTAAATTTATCATCGTGAATTATATATAGTGAATGTCTTTGCTCTTGGCTCCTGAGAAACACCCAGTGGCCCTCCAAGGCCGTCAATGGCCCCAGTTCGACAAACTCCTGTTTTAACACTTACCATAAGAAAACATGAGTAAAACAAAATCGCCGTCAGTGAAGAGATTTTTTAAAGATTTTGCGAATGAGGTATTTGGCGTTGAAAACGTTGCTTGTGCTTCTGATGGAGGGAATTCAGGCTTTTCTGCAAAGTCTATAAAAAGAATAATGTAATAAAGCGATTTAACGAAAGGTTGGATTTAGTGGATGCTTGTTTCAAACCTCGTTCAGAACGAAGGTGTTGGAAAGCCTCATTAAAAACGGTGGTATTGAGAAAAAATGGTACTCCCGTAGTGTGTGTATCAGGTTAGGGTTAGGCCATAATTTTATTCTGATTTTTCTTATTTTAGTTCTATTACGAGTTCAGGGACTGTCTTTTATAGCCATCCTCACATGGAATTCAAACATGTGAGCCCACTCAAGGTAATCAGAGGTGCGATGGCGAGCGTATTCCTGACGCTTAGCACGATGCGCCACATCGCCGTGCCAACCAAGCCAATCTCTGATGAGTCAGGAAAATATATTGAGTGAAAATATACCCCAAACAATAAAAATACTTACAGAGCCGGATCATGATAAACATTACAAAGGAGAAGATTGAAATTGAGATAAACGTCACAATAGCTCTCATCCCTAGTGTTGCACCAAGAAATTCTTTAGTGACCACTAGAGGCGCGGTTAGAAGAGAGAGTCCATTTCCCAACTGAAACAAATTATATAGAGACAGTCTATAGTAAATTCAAGTCTATTGGAAATAAATGATTTTTTTACGAGTTTAATTTTAATCGAAGCCTACAAAGTTCTTTCCATTTTCCTAACTACCGTAAGCTATATAAGTAGTCGTGTTTGCAAAATAGGACAGGGGCGTTTTGAAAATGCAAAAAAGGCAATTTTTTGTATCATACATATAAATTTTGTGACCTGAGACGCTTTTTAAACCCTCAGCACTTTTGAAAATCCTCGGTTTCCGACCCGTTAGCTGTTACGGGTAAATTTGGCAATTGAAAATTTCAGAATAATCCCAGTGGTATTCGTAGTGTTATTACTTATCGATCTTAAGATCGGTAAGTATATTGATAGGTATTTGTCTGTCTGTCTGTCTGTCTGTGTGTCTGTTAGATGCACGAGATATCTCACGAAAGCGAGATTGAATCTGCTCCAGATTTTGCATGTGCATTCATCTTATCTCGGACCAGAAGCCTATTGATTTTGGGCGAATTAGGTCGTATAATTAGCGAGTTATCAATCAATTATTGATATAGTGATCTAGATTTTTGTAAAGCGAGAGAATTTTGAAACCCGCCGAGTGTGTGTGTGCGATGCGCAGTGCGCAAGTTACAAGAGCGGATGAACCGAAACTGCAGTTTCTGTTTTGGGGGATCCCGTAACTATCGATCGATAAGTCTTCGGTTTCCAACCGATATTCTCGTTTTGATATTGGCATATTCCAAATCCCATCATGTTCAAACAATTCATGTTTAACAGAGTGAGAATCTTATCAAGCAATTGAAACTAGGAAAAACGGGGAGTTTCTTGTATAGTGTAAGTTAAAGCAGTTTTGCCCCTAGCATTGGGGTCCCCTGCAACTTCCCTGTGTATCTTATGAGGGGCACAGGCCCCAGGTTGGAAACCGCTGCTTTAAAAGTGAATGGTCTATTTAAATTGTAAAATCCTAGATGAGGTAGTGGATAACGACTGACTTAGATCAGACATTAAACATACAAAATGCCATTTAGCTGCTATAATTTCCGTTACCAAGTCCTCACCTGATAGAAGAACACCAAAGTCCCAGATGCCGTTGAAATTTCATTTGTTGGAAACCATTTTCCAGCTAACAGAGATGGGAGACATAATACGAAAACCTGTCAATAAAGGTGAAGTGTTATCAGATCTCTGATGAGTTTGTGATACAAGGATATTAGCTGATGAATTTTTTATCAATTTCAAAATTATATGCTTTCATTTGAAGGGGTTGAAATGGAGCCAAAGCTTTCAGATATGGGAACATGACTCAGAGAATATGACAGAGTTGGTTGCTGAATATTACCAAGTCTCTATAAAATGTACAGCAACGCCAAATCGTAGTGATGGATGGCCGGCAATAACAATGCATGGTTTTTTGAAAAATGCAGACAGACCTTCATGAATACTGGAAAAAACTTCAAGTTTCCCAATTAAATCCGTTCATCGTGTGGAGGGGCGATATGGAACAGAATTCTCACATGTATCGCGGGAGAGAAAGGGATTTATCATTAGGTGAATATTTAGTTAATTACTCCATACGCATTCTCTTGTATGACGGGGTAAGTCGTAAACGATTGAAAGTTTCGTGTAATTATAATGAAATAACGTGCTGAAACAAGTAACCCGTGAGTTACACATTCCCATTCATTGACGGATAGAGTGCCAAATGGAAGCCCCTCATCAAGAAAACATTCGTGTGAAACGATAAAAGAATCAATGTCAGACAGATACGGAGGCAGACAGACAGAAAGACATAACGACTAGTATGAAAGGTGTCTCTACATAGAAGATCTCTTATTATTGTAATTTACTTGACACCTGCGAGCACCACGTATCCATCTACGCGTATCATATTGAAGGGTAGGGGTCAAAGGTGACATTTATGTGTGTTACATCACAATATAAAATTTACTCACCTGAGCACAGCCGGCGATGAATTCTGAGGTCAAAGCAACGAAGAAGAAGTTTCTGTTTGACGTTGAAATTGCAGTCATTGCTGTTCCAATGAATATTAATGCTGTTGAAATATAACAATTAATAGATCGAATAAATCACTAATCGAATAAATCACTAAGTTTCCCAAAGGCTTGTATTTATTGTGTGTAGCCTAATAGTATTCTGCGGAAGATGCCATTCGAATGTCGTTCGGCCCGTATGGCTATTTCTATTACCAACTATTTATATATCGATGTAATTGTCTATCAGTAATTTTATACGTCGTATGCGTGTTAATGAGTTGACTTATTTTAGTAAATAAAAAAAGGCAATGAAGAATAAAATTGAATGTTATACCTAAATCGAGATATAAATGAACATGAACCCGATCGTAACTAGAACGATCGTCTACAACAAGGTTCGCAACATACGGCCCGCGAGCCGGATCAAAGTTGATGCCAAGTAAAAGGGTTCAATGGCGCCGAAAATATTCAAATGGATAAATCTATATTCCATTCGAGAGATGTATCAATGCTTGATTTTTATTTAAAAAGTATCATCCGTTTGGTTTTCAATTTTCTAAAAATATTTGCGGCCCGCCAATGACTTGCAACCCTTAATTTTGGCCCGCGAACGACGAAAAGTTGCCGACCGACCCCTGGTATACAGCAACAATCATTAGGTCAATTGCTCACTCCAGGCTTCACTGACTGAAATGACCCTTCAGATCAGTGATTTTCAAACTTTTTGGCTCACTCACGAAACAAAGTTGTTTAAGATATTTTTTAAGCTTAAGGTTGTAGCATTTTGAAAACCACTGCCATAAACGTGAAACGTTGAAAATAATATTCCCAAAAGGGTACTCCGTAAGTATGCGCACTAAGATGTCTCACAATCTGAACCCTAACCTGGTACACAACGTGAGTTCAGGTTGTGCGCCATCCAGGTGCGCATTCTTCAGGAGGTCCTACAAAAGTACTTACTCGCGGCACATTGTACAGTGAATCTCAAGCCATATCTCATTATCAACCAAATTACAGGAAAACCAAAAGCAATGAACGATATATAATATGCTTGTGTTAGAAGATCTCCTAGAACGTATGAAACCTGCAATAATGAGAGTGGGATGCTGAAATACATGTATACGAAAGTCATATGGAAGTGTGCACATGAAGTATAAAAAACAGAAAATATTGGGTCCCGTGGAACTGCTAAGAAATTTGAAAAATATTAAAACTAAAAGTAATAGAATTCAAACGACTTCTTCCATCTGTGAGAACTGAAACAGCATCTGTTAACGAAAATGGGGGGATATTAATCGGGGGATGTGAAAAATCACTTTCTTTTTCACCAGGGCTGTGGGCCGGAGAAAATGTGTGGTCTGGCCTTCGGCCTAGAAGGTACCATTTGTACACAGTATCCTATAGGTATACTATATAGACTATGGAGTACAGACCAACACGATATAGTGCCGGGGTAGACAAATTGCGGCCATCGAACGAACAAAAAGAGCTCACAATAGGCTGTTGCACGGTGTTTGTTTTATAGTAATTAGTCGAAGTCGCAGGTACGTCAAAATACGTTGAAATTTTATGGTTTTACAGGCGAAATTAATATTGTCCGGACGCTACCGAAAATGTGTGTATTAGGTCCAGTGTTACATGAAGTTTGCCGACTACTGGCTTAGTACATGTATCCGTTTCTCTTTGGATCGGGCGTCTTCTGGGCATCTAGGTTGTTTCGACTCACTTTGACGTAAACTTCTTTCAATAATCAATGTATGATTACCTATCGATCTTAAGATCGGTAAGTATGTTGATAGGTATTTGTCTGTTTGTGTGTTTGTCTGTTAGATACACGCGATATCTCACGAAAGCGAGGATGAATCCGCTCCAAATTTTGGACATGCAATCATCATATTTCGTATCAGAAGCCTATTGATTTTGGATGAATTATGTCGTATGATTAGCGAGGTATTAATTTATTAGTGATGGGACACAAGGTGTCACTATGGAGTAAGAGCGCTGTTTGGGGGGTTCCCTAACTTTCGATCGATAAGTCTTCGGTCTCTGACCTATATTCTCGTTTATCTATTGCTGTTAGATTTGGACCTAAATCACGTGTGTCGCTGCTTGATAACCAGCAATGATGTCTTGCGCATTCCTTTACTCCAAAGTGCCGTTTTACTTCATTACTTATCGATCTTAAGATCGGTAAGTATATTGATAGGTATTTGTCTGTATGTCTGTGTGTGTGTCTGTTAGATGAACGCGATATCTCGCGAACGCGTGGTTGAATCTGCTCCAAATTTTGCATGTGCATGCATCTTACCTCGGAGCCTATAGATTTTGGGTTGATTATGTCGTATAATTAGCGAGTTATTAACTAATTACCGATCTAAGATCGATAAGTCTTCGGTCTCCGATTGATATTCTCGTTTTTGTATTGTTCATTTATACAGTGTATTTCAGTATGGTGGAAAAATAAATTACTGTTACGGTATTCCTGAAGTATGCGCATCAAGATGTCGCACAACCTGAACCCTAACCTGGTACACGACCGAGTTCAGGTTGTGCGCCATCTTGGTGCGCATACTTCAGGAGGTCCCCTAATTCTATTCTCATATAACGCACATCAGGACAGGTTGGATTTTTTCCGCGTGTAAAATAAATTCCTCTGCTTTTATGTTTACTAATAGAAGTTGAGACAAAGAAACACACATACGCGCGCGCGCAAGCACACACATGCACACTTGGTATTGGCGTCGGCGGTCGAACTCGGAGAACGCTTTTTAATTTATCGACAACAAAAAATTGGAAACATATTATATATATACAACCGAAGAAAGTCTTGGAATACTAACTTCAAAGAATGCTACGGCGGTTATTTGAAATAGAACAACGCATTTTACAACAAGACTGCCTTGAAATATTTTAATTTAACGACAACAAGAAAGAAAACATATTATTATAGATGGAGCTCCAACAAAATTCATAAAATTTTGAACTTACTTCAAAGAATGCCACGGCGGTCGACTCAAATCCAGCGAATTGTAGATTCTGAATTCCATTTATAAGTCCAATAGCTGAGCCCATGAATAACATAAACCATCTCGAAGAAGAATTGCGGACAATTCTAAAGAGAAGCAATTTTTCCACGGGATTTACTTTTATATCTCACACGGACCTCCTGAAGTATGTGCATCAAGATGGCGCACAGCCTGAACTCAGGTTGTGTACCAAGTAAGGTTTCAGGTTGTTCGACATCTTGGTGCGCATACTTCAGGAGTACCTCTCACACACGCACGTCCACTAATGAGGAGATAATTCAAATGAAAATTGGCGCCATATGGGCATCCCTATTGCAACAATTTGTGAAATCATGCATACACTGGCGAATGCATCTTTTAAAGTACCTCTGATATTTTTTAGTGGAAATGTTGTTCCAAAATAAACAAAGTACCTAGGGAATAGATTAGCTGAAATTCGAAAGCAGTTAGTGATAAACATTGAATAGCACGTGGTTCACGTCATCGCTGGTCGGTTACGGCCCCCTCTATCATCAAGTTCTTGCTTTCGAAAACGAATAACTGGCTAACTGGTCCCATACCCGACATGGACTGCTGGTAACCGGACGAGAGGCCGTGGTTCGCCACTGTTTTATCGGCTTTTCTACCCCCGGGATAAATATGTAAATCCTATCCTAATTCGGTACTCTTGGAGTATGCGCATCAAGATGTCGCACAGCCTGAACCCTAACCTGGTACACAACCTGAGTTCAGATTGTGCGCCATCTTGGTACGCATACTTTAAGAGGTCCCCTAATTCTATTCTTAGATAACGCACATCGGGACAGGTTGCATTTTTTCCGCGTGTAAAAAAAATTCTGATTCTGTCAAAACCCACTCACGTGTTTGTTTTATTATTCAGAAGTCTATCTTGCTCTTTTGTTTCTTCTACAAATATTAATCCATCGCTTTCCGTTGATGACATCATTGTGATGACGTAATGAGTAGTTGCGTAATCCTAATTACCTAGAACGTAAAGATAATCATTACCTAATCAAACCTATTATCTAAATAGGAAACAAACAGGTGGATGATTTAATGGAAAAGGGAGTTTTCAATATAACGTCGTGATTAAAAAATCATTTGCTCAAAGGTTATTACGAAGCACTTAAATTGATTTTCTGATTTGATAGGTTCAAACTATTAAGGGAAAATACGGGGGTGATCATACACCTATGGAGCAGGTCATTCAAATTGCTATATCAATCCCTTTTCCTAGACTGATGTCTATATTACAGATCAATAGTAGTCCACAAAAAATGCCATTCTAAAGGTGACCATATATCCATTCTACCCATTCCTAATTCTAACCTACTGTTATATGGGCAGCCCGATGGCCTTTTACGCAGGAGGTAACTCATATGCCTATTGTGGACTATATACCCACTAATCCCCATCCTAATCGGATGTCTACATGGCAACTCTATGCGCCCTCTACACAGAAGCTCTGTAAAACTATATACCCATCCATATTCTAGCCCTGCTGTCTGTATGGCAGTCCAATATATATTCTAATTGCCTCGGGGAACCTATATCAATGCCCGTTTTGTACAGCAGCTCAACAACTCTCTACGGAGAAGGCCATTCTAATTGAGATTGGCGTATATATCGATCCCAATTAACAACATACTGATTACATAGAATAATTTCCACGCATGGGGGCGTTTGATGTCAAATCGGAGAGCATATCCAACCTTCTTCCTAACTTGATGTCTCAATAAGTCTACTATTCTTCTACAAACCGAGTACATAAAATAGGTGATTGGTATCATATATCAAGGGTTCTCTACTTTTGGTGTTACGGTGCCCGTGAAGAAGGTCCACAACCTGAACTCAGGTTGTGTACCAGGTTAGAGTTCAGGTCATGCAACATCCCGGTGCGCATACTTCAGGAGTACCCAAACATTGTTATTTACCGAATGAAGTCCCTGAGTAAACTAAAATCCCTCTATTCAATGATTCGGATGTATTTTCTGCTCTGTATATAAAAAAAATTCAGTATTTTAATAAGTGAACGAATAGCTTGCGGAGCATCTAGGTTTCTCTCACAGTTACATACATATAGGCCCCCCGAGGCAAGTAGGTCACTTTGCTCCAAGCATACGTTCTCTAAAATCCATTTCTTTGCCTCTTCCTTTGTGATTCCAGATTTCCAGTAACCAATTGATTGTTTATTGATATTTAGATCAAATTTGAAATAACAAAACAAGACTGTGTTTTTCGTTGTTGCGACATCGAATCCCTGTCTTTCTATTTATTTATTTTTATTACAACTACAATACTTTCAATGAGCCCATAACAAACGATTTAAACTGTATTTCTGCCAAGTGACAAGTTGTTCCTTTATAATCATGCGCTATTAATATTAAACAAATCAATTTATATTCAAAAATGCGGATCTCATTTCAATACTAATTCTAACGGTCAGTTCATTTTCATAACTCAGAGTTTCCCTAACTTTTTGGGCCGCGAACCCCTGTCTGTTAATCTTATTTTTGACGAACCACCAAGTCGCGACCTGTATTTTGTTATCATATTGGTAAGAGCTGAAATTGCTGCCTATATCATGTATGACTTTGCAAACGCGATAAAATTTTGATTTTCTTGCCTGACAGCAATTGATACCGATATTCGTCCGCAACGCTCAACCAAAAAGACGCATTGGAATCAATCATTAAAGATCGATTAGATTCACTTCACACAAACTTTTCCTAAATTAAATTTTGTAAAATTCCGCGACCCCAAGACATGCTCAAATACTATACGGCATGTAATATTTTTATATAAAACAATTATTTTTACATATTATTTATATTCCCCCAGAAATTACCCGAAAGTGAAGAGGAACCGCTTGTTTGCACTCAGCGAGTTTTTGAAATGGTGGTGGGACTTTAATTAGCAAAATGAATGCTGCCAAGTATTTACGAATTGATACATATTTCCCATATATACAATTGCTATTGAGCAACACTTCAATACTAAATAAAAATATAAAATTTACTACAAAATTAAAAATAGTAACTTTCAGTTTTCTTTCTGAAAAAAACGAGGGGGCTCCCGAAGTATGCGAACCAAGATGGCGGACATCGGAATGTAATATGTGTACTAGGTTAGGGTTAGGCCATAATTTTAGGTATAAATACTACGGGAGGCTCTTGGCTAGTCTTCGAACTGATAATAGGACTAAAATGAGGAAAATTGGAAAAAAATTATCGCCTAACCCTAACTAACCTGTTACCCATGTTACGTTCCGATGTCCGCCATCTTGGTTCGCATACTTCGGGATCACCAAAACGAGCGACCTAAGAAAATTTACAGGCTATACATACCCAGTCTTTGGTCGCGAATCATAGGTTGGGAAACACTGCACTATAGACCTACCGTGTCCACGAGGATAATACTTTTAAATAGGAATTACAACACAAGAAAATAAACATTACTAGATCTTCATGTCCAATACTATTTGTTTAACCCACACTAATCCTGAATAAACTTTGATTGATCGCGTTGTTACTGTGAACACAAATGAGTTTTGTGCAAATCACACATATCGTACGTACACACATGTATGTATTTGTACCTAATTTCTCATCGATCTTTAGATCGGTAAGTATGTTGAGGTATTTGTCTGTTGGTCTGTCTGTCTGTTAGATGCACGCGATATCTCAACCTGCTAAAACGCTTAAAAACAGTGAAAAACCGTCTAAAAACAACAAAAACCCTGCTAAAACGCTTAAAAACAGTGAAAACCCGTCTAAAAACACCAGAAACCCTGCTAAAACGCCTAAAAACAGTGAAAACCCATCTAAAAACACCAGAAACCCCGCTAAAACGCTCAAAAACAGTGAAAAATCGTCTAAAAACCCCCAAAACCTTGCTAAAACGCTTAAAAACAGTGAAAAACCGTCTAAAAACACAAGAAACCCTGCTAAAACGCTTAAAAACAGTGAAAACCCGTATATAAACACTAGAAACCTTGCTAAAACGCTTAAAAACAGTGAAAAAACCGTCTAAAAATACTAGGAACCCTGCAAGCTGGGACTCGGAACTAATTCATATGTTCAATACGATCATTCTGATTACGTTTTCTATGCTAACTTTAATTCTGCACGGATACACCCAATAAACAGGATACATCAATTTGTAATTTTTTCTGCTAAACTGAGGGAAATTAATTCAACACTTCAACTTCTGTTTGTGTACTCCAGTAGGTTAGGCCATAATTTCATTAGGCCAGAATTCTTTGCACAAAAATTTTGTTTTTTGGCCACCTTGTAATACGTACTAAACATAACAAGAAAGTAAAGTAGTAAAGCTTTTTCTGATGATAATTCTTTTTCTAATAAAGTCTAATGCTCTTTGTTTGACCCGCGCTTATCATGTAAACTTTGATTGATCGAGTTGTTACTGACAACACAAATGAGTTTTATGAAAATCATACACGTCACCTTTATGTATTTCTGTTTCGTCAACGATAATATTTGTGAATCAGGCATTTTGTTTTTATTTAATAATTTAAAGTTTACAAAATCACTAAGCTTTCTGCGAAAAAAATTAATCATTAAAAAGTCAGTAATAGTAAATTGATATTTTGTATACACACTTAGCGTAATCGCTTTGACAGTGATATAATTTCGTTGAAAATACAAACTGTATGAAATAAAAACTTAGATCATAGACAGAATGATACAGTCCTTATGGTGCCATGGTACCCGGTTAAAATATATATATATATATATCAGAGTGGTCCAAGGTTGTCGGCTCCGCGGGCACAAAATTATTTTTGCATTGTTCGCGGGCCACAATAGTGCCAAGAATAGGTAAACAGTGCAATACAAAACAAACATTTTTATTGTGCAAACACATAGTTATCATGCATAGCCATTCTAGGCTAATAGAATCCGCATTCGATTTTTAGTTTTTTTTTGATGCCTATACTGTTAGCATATATTCCCGACCAACAAGTTAGAAAGCCAGATAACAATTTAGACTGCCAGGCACATCATTCAACTTCGCTGGTTTCCCCAGCTAGCCATAACACTATTTAATTCAGTGAAATTAGTGATGACAATATGTCAAAAGATTTTTCTGATCAATGTTATGACGAAACAACACGAAATGCGATTTTTTGATTGCTCTCCGAAAGTGACGCGGGCCACAGATAATGAAGCGGCGGGCCACATGTGGCCCGCGGTCCTGGGTTTGGACCACCCTGATATATTAAGAAATTGCTCCAATCAATATCAAGTGCAAATTAGGTTATCTCTAAGAAATAACTGTAATTCCAATAAAATATAAGCGGTTTAAAAAGAAAACTTAGCTCATAGACGGAATGTGTGTTATATATGGGGAAATGGTACCCGTTTAATATGTATATATTTTTCTATAAGAAAGTTGCACAAAGCAAATTTACGCGCAAAGAACGTGATCTCTAGGAAATTACGGGAATTTTCAAAGAAGGGGGGGGGGGGGGGATTTCTAATTGGCAAGTTAGACGGTAACAGCCAACCGGTCTGTTTTCAAGCCTCTCGACGTGCCTAAAAGAAGTATCCTATTAATTTCAGTTTTTCTTCATTAATTTAAGAAATCGACACGCACTGGATGATTCGAAACATCACACACAGTGATTTTCAAACTTTTTAAGCCACGCCCTCTTGAATTTGTCAAGTCTCGCGGCCAACCTCAAAAATAACTATCTAACAATAAGCTATGATAAACATGCATGAAAAAAAACTAACAGCATGAAGTTGAACTCTCAAACATACTTCACGTTGATATTAAAGATACAAAGACAACAGCTCTCTACAATCTCTGAACAATAAAGAAATGTAAATATCCAAAATAAGGCGGGCAAGATCAAATCTGAAAAATATTTTTATCTTTAAACCCACCCACGTATAGTTGAACCCATACATTTGCACCCGTATATCCGCGGATTCAATCTATATGCGGGTGCTAAAATCCATGGGTTAGGGTTAGTATGGGTTCTAATATCCGTAAAAC